AGCTTTTTTCGCGTTTACCAAATTTGTGATATTTTGACAAATATTGAGTGCGAAAAAAGTCTAAAGTACATTTTTACAAATATAATCTTTTTCTTTCATTTTTTTTTTCAATTATTTTTTTTAAATGACAATATAACTGATTATCATTTCAGAGTACACAAATGATAATGATAAATATAACCTGAAAAAAACAGGACAGTTTTTTGTCTCTCCTGAAAAATTTACAGATATGCACTTAGACTTCTTTCGCTTTCACCCCTCGATATGTTTATAAGTATGTACATGCACGCGCCGTTATTGTTTATGGCAATATTTGTGTCTTAATAAAAAAATCTTGAAATTAAATTTTGAGTATTCTTAATTAATGAACATGTATTGATGTTTATTTGTTTCTTCATATAAACAGAGGTAGACAAATGCCATTAATAACGGCTTTGATTTATCCCTTTATTTAATGAATGAAAAACAACAACAACAAAAACTAAAACTATAATGTACAAAATATCAGTAATGTTTAAGCATCCTGAATATGTTGCCTGCATTTTTAATTTGCTTTTTGACAGCTTATCTGTGTTATGTTGGCTCCATAATTTGTGATCCCCTTTCAATATTCCATTTTGTTTAGTTCCGCCCTTTGTTTTCTCGTTAAGGGTACACAAAGTCTTTCACATGTGGATTATGCATGCGCCGCTTTTCATGGAATGGCATAGCTATTGTTGCTAAGCAAAAGACGAATTTCACTTTGTAAGAAAACAAGGAGACAACAAAGGACTGTATCACTCTCGTTAAGTAAAATAACTGTAACGTTGAACTAGACAAGTAAAAATATTCTACTTAACCTAGCCATTTGTATAAAGTCATTCAAAAAGAGAACTAAATATTTCAATACTAGTAACTTATGATGGGCATCCGTGAGTGTTTATGGTCGTTAACTTCAAACCGCTTTCCCTGACCACTATATGTTCAAATCTTGCCAGAAACTTTCGATTCTTTCTTGTAAGGAAGATATTAAGCTAGCTTACGGAAGTTCTACTCAAGTGCCTGCTCGAGCCTGAAATAATGCACGGATGGGTATCAGAGGTCTTCATCCACCAGTAAAGCTGGAAAATCACCATATAGCCTCTACTGTGTTTGCTCGACGATCAATCCCAATAGTTAAATTAAGGTACCGGTTGTATTACTTGTATATATGATTTAAATGTATGAATGTATTGTTACAACGGTTGGCTGAATGCTTAAGTTTAAGTAATTTGTTATGTTTTGTATTGTTTTGACATTTATTTACCTTACTCTAAAATGTAAACAATTGTTGGTTCATATTCTTGCTTAGATGTTAGAAATTGTTTAAATTTTGTTAAAATGTATCGGTCGCGACATTTAAGAATTATTTGAGAAGAATATCAAGAGAATAAAACACTACAAGAAATGTTACAAGTTTATTAGGTTTTCATCTGTTATAACGTCCCAAATAGAATTAGTATATTGTAGCTCTAAGGGTAAAAGTGGTGTGTGTTTCTTGTCGAGGTTCTTTCATCTCTATATTAAAAATAAACAATAATGAGGAAAAAATATACGTAAAAGAATGGATTAGCACATGACTAGACACGAGGTACAAATATAAGAGAAATATCTTGACGATTTTATCATTTTGACACTATGACAGTGGAAGGTAAATAACACTGGAAAACACGCATTTGACGTAACTAAATGCAATTTATAACTTGATAAAACCATTTATGTATTCATATATCAGTATAAACATTATAAATAGAATGTATATCTTTGATACAGCCAGCTTCAAATATGTCTTGAGAAATCTATGAAACATGCAAACATGATTAATGAATACTGTTGACCAGTGCATTGACTGATAACGAATTTAAAAAATGCAAACCATCTATAGTCGGAACATGTTAAAGAATGAAACTTTCTAACCGATGCTAGATACATTAGCATAAAAGCAAGTGTTTGGGGTGCTATAATTCAGTAACGAACAATTTGCCGATGATTTATGAGACTCGAGTAATGAAGCCAGACAATAACTGAAATATTTAGAGAAAAATAGGAAAGAAACAAAAGTTAACTACTAAAAAAGTCTTTTTTTTTTCATTGTTAAATTGAATTTTCATTTTAAAGTCTTTGATTTATTCTCAGAAAGATACTAAAATGTTCCAATTTAAGATTAATATTCATCTCCTTCTTCTTCTTCTCCTTCCCCCTCAACTGAATCAACCCCAACCTCCTCGTAATCTTTCTCGAGGGCGGCCAAGTCCTCACGGGCCTCAGAGAACTCTCCTTCCTCCATTCCTTCTCCAACATACCAGTGAACAAACGCTCTCTTAGCGTACATCAAATCAAACTTGTGGTCAAGACGGGCCCAGGCTTCGGCGATAGCGGTCGTATTGCTCAACATGCATACTGCACGTTGAACCTTTGCAAGATCTCCACCAGGTACCACTGTTGGCGGTTGGTAGTTGATACCAACCTTGAAGCCAGTAGGACACCAATCAACAAATTGGATGGTTCTCTTAGTTTTGATTGTAGCGATTGCAGCATTAACATCTTTCGGGACAACATCTCCTCTGTACAACATACAACAAGCCATGTACTTGCCGTGACGAGGATCGCATTTAACCATCTGATTAGCTGGTTCAAAACAAGCATTCGTTATCTCAGCAACGGTGAGTTGTTCATGATATGCTTTCTCAGCGGAGATGACCGGTGCGTAGGTAGCTAATGGAAAGTGGATACGTGGATATGGTACAAGGTTGGTTTGGAACTCTGTCAAGTCAACGTTAAGGGCACCATCAAATCTGAGAGATGCGGTAATTGACGAAACTATCTGACCAATCAGTCGATTCAAGTTGGTGTACGTTGGCCTCTCAATGTCAAGGTTACGGCGACAAATATCATAGATGGCCTCGTTATCAACCATAAACGCGCAGTCGGAGTGCTCTAGAGTGGTATGAGTGGTCAAGATAGAGTTGTATGGCTCCACGACAGCTGTCGAAACTTGGGGGGCAGGATAAACAGCGAACTCAAGCTTAGATTTTTTTCCATAATCAACAGATAGCCGCTCCATTAGCAGGGATGTGAAGCCAGATCCAGTACCACCACCGAATGAGTGGAAGATCAGAAACCCTTGCAGGCCTGTACATTGGTCAGCTAGTTTACGTATTCTATCCAAGACAAGATCGATGATTTCCTTACCAATGGTGTAGTGACCACGAGCATAATTGTTGGCCGCATCTTCTTTGCCGGTTATTAGTTGCTCGGGGTGAAATAGTTGGCGGTAGGTTCCGGTTCGAATCTCATCTGAAACATAATTGGTAAATAATTATACATGTATAATAAAATGGTAAAACATCTTAATAAAAATGTACAAAGTCTATTTTAAGTTTTTACATATCCTAAAATTCAAAATATTTATCATGGTTGAGGTGTAAATGTTAATTGTCAACACATAAAAAATTCATATGTTTTAACAATTATCATTTACACTTTACAACAGTACCATCGTTTAAACCTTCAGAGCTTGGCCAATAACATCGTTCTTGTATTGATTTCAATTCAAGTGCACCCAAATGACTTGTACAACACGCATCACGTTAGTTTATTTCATACATCAGACTGTGACTCAAAGATAAAAGTGAGCAGGGAGTGTATTCATGACTGCATCAATGACTAGACCTCAGCTATATTGATTAAATTACCAATACGTACATCTATTACAACTGTTAAAGAGAATAAAGGGATTGCATTACTAGAATATTTAATGACCATGAAATACAATGCTGAACATATTCCATTCCTTTAAAGACAAAAGAAATTGAAAACAAAATGTGTGACAAATGTGATGTGCGTTTTTGTCTCTTGATAGCTTAATTAGATGATTTTAACTTTACAGAAAACTCAATTACTTTTTTATTTGCTAGATAATATTTTACACACACTTAATTATATCAAAAGAAGATTTACTCCGGAATCAAGAATATTTGGGTTTGCCCCATGTAATCCGTAGATACAAACAATTTTTTCAGTTACAGCTTCGAAAATAAGTGCAACAGGTTGACTAATTTATAGTGACCGATAGTGCACCGCATAGCTATCAAAACGGTAAAAATTTGTTTGTAACTACGGATTAACTGGGAAAAAGCACACATTTGCCGAGTTCCGGATAACATCTATTACATAATAATACTTGAGACATTAAGATATAAAGTTACTTACCAACGACGGTAGGTTCGAGATCCACAAAGACGGCTCTAGGAACATGTTTACCAGCCCCGGTTTCACTGAAGAACGTGTTGAAAGAATCATCTCCACCACCAATAGTTTTATCACTTGGCATCTGACCGTCGGGCTGAATCCCGTGCTCCAGACAATACAGCTCCCAACAGGCGTTGCCCATCTGGCACCCGGCCTGACCAACATGCACTGATATACATTCACGCTGAAAACAAAATCGTATAAAATTTGTTTTGCTAACTTGATGTTTCTTCAGTCAATAACTCAAATATAAAGTTATTGTGCGTTTTCTGGCATTCAATAAAACCTCTTTATCTATTTCTTATATTTCTAAGATAATTATTATGAATCGAGCGTAACACATCAGACAAACAATAAATGAGCCGCGTCATGACAAAACCAACATAATGCGTTTGCGACCAGCATGGATCCAGACTAGCCGGCCTGCGCATCCGCGCAGTCTGATCAGGATCCATGCTGTTCGCTTACAAACCGTATACATGTAACAAGTAGATAAACTGATAGCGAAAAGCATGGATCCTGATCAGACTGCGCCGATGCGCAGGCTGGTCTGGATCCATGCTGGTCACAAACCCATTATGTTGGTTTTGTCATGACGCGGCTCAAATGTCTTTTTTATATTTTCTGCGAAATTGTCCGTGCAGCTTTCAGATGTTACAATGTAACCTGACTAAGAGATAAAAGTGTGATACCTATATTTTTATACTGACTATAACACTGTTTTATTTTCATCATCTTATTAGGTTATATATCAGTCGCTTTTAGCAACAATCAATGAAAGTCGATAGAGATTCTTGCACCATGGCAAGCGAATGTATTCGAGTCAAACTTGCAAGAGCATTTTGTGAAATATTTCTCAGAGTATTATGATTCATGAAATCGAATTTAATTGTCTCTAACAGGGGAAAACCCTTGCTCCGACAACTGCAGTATTTTGTCATGCGCAATATGCGCATTGGCGCAGATGTTTTACAGTAATCGATACTGTCTGTTCTAAAATGATCCCTTCTTGTCTGTGCATGACTCATATTAACTATTGATATACAAATCTGTATTTATTTATCGTTAATTTTCCCTTTAGTAATATGTTGTTGGAAAAAAAATGCTTTCATGCATATCACATTGCTAATAAAACTACATCTCTTCTTTTTATTTCGAATAATTTTGGAAAATATTTACAATTCCAGTCAGTAACGCTTTTAAAGAATATGAAAGATACGGTCCCTGAAATTTGAGATGCATGTACTAACACCATTATCACAGTTAGTCATGAATAATATGAGCCACGTTACGACAAAACCAACATAGTGGGTTTGCGACCAGCATGGATCCAGACCAGCCTGCACCTCCGAGCAGTCTGATCAGGATCTATGCTGTTCGCTATCAGTTTCTCTACTTGTAATAGGGTTGGTAAGCGAACATCATGGATCCTGATCAGACTGCGCGGATGCGCAGGCTTGTCTGGATCCATGCTGGTCGCGAACGCCTTATGTTGGTTTTGTCGTGACGCGGCTCAATTATATATTTCTATATTTTTATAGTTTAAACATGGTAGACAGTGTAATATGATAACACATACTATTTGAACTTCTTTCAAATTCAAAAAGCCCATACATTGTCAAAATATTGAAAAATATATAATAAAGAAAGTATCATAATAATGAAAAATATATAATTAAGAATTTTTTTTAGAAGTTCCAAGATGGAAGATATCTGAATATCGTTCAATAATAATCTAGTCATCTAGTTACACGAACTGATTAAATACTGTTTTCGTAAAAATATATAACTGAAAAAATATACACATGTTTAAGAGTATTGACAAACGATGAAAAAAAGCTCAGAAAAAAACACTTACCATTTTGAGCAATATGTTATTCTGTTCCACTCGACTTTATGGCGTTGCGGAGACAAATTATTTGTTTTTGTTGTTAGTGCGCGCGCGTTTTTATAGCGTTCGTTGTCATGACTGGACCGCCGTGTGTCTGGTATATAGTGCACGCCAATGACTGCGAGGCTATCCAATAAATTTGATTTCCCTGCAGAACCACGTTTTGTTTAAGGCTTAAAAACAAGCATTTGTCTTACATATCTGTTCTATTTGATATTTTATATAACTCATAAGGCTACTTTCCAGCATTTTAGTGTTATTTGCATTGGTGCACCTTAAATTTGATGTCACTCTGCGATGGTTTAAACGCAAAAAGAATCCGCCAGGCGTAAATTATTCATTGTCCTTCAAGGGGTTTGATCTCAATGTAAAAACGAACATTTTGTGTAAGTCAGTGTACTTTGGTACAGCTATAACTTAATCTACATGCTCTCCTATATAGGTAAAATAGACCAATCTGTGTAATTTTCATGATTGAAAACAAAAGCAAGTATGTATATCTCATGATGAAATTCCTGAAAGTATTGCGTCCATATTTTGCTGAATGCAGTTGTTGATTTAAATTTTGTACTTTTGTTCTTGAAGAAGGACTGAAATTTGAAAAAAATATTCAAGTGAAAAGATTTAAAAGCACATTAATTATGCCTCAGAAATCAATATTTTATTTTTATTCTTTAGAAAGGTCAAATATGTGTTTAATAATATCTTTACAATGGATTAACTGCATGTTACGTGTAAAACAACTAAAGAATGCAGCATTGGTAGCGCAGTAATATGTCGTGTCGTAAAGGTAGCAAAATATAAACAAAGTAGTATTTTGACTTCCATAGAAAATTAGAAAACTAGCTTGTTCGAGGCACTCTATAGCAGAAAGTTATATTTAGTAGTGTCATTTAAAATACTATTACAATTTTGTTCCGCTTTTCAAATGCACTTCTGATAGACAATAATGGTAGATAAGGAAATATGTTCTAATACTATAGCATGAATGCATAACTCAGTATATCATAAATGCGCATAAAATCGTGCAAAAAGGGCACCTGAGGTCTTCCTCCAAAGCTGGAAAGTAGCCATATGACTTTATAATTTGTTGGATGCGACCAAAAAGGTCATTATAGCAATACAATACAACAAGATACATTTACAAGTTATGCATTCATGTACATGTATATACTAGATCAATTCATCGCCCATGACATAATTACAGCTCAGTGTCAACTTATGCAATATGTTAAGGGTATTTTGTTAGGGACATAGATTAATTATTTGTGCAAGAACTTGATATATTTTGTGCTATAATGTGACTATTTTATAATCATTTTCAGCCAGGATGATTACTTATGTCAAATAAAGAGATAAAAGACTTTTTAAGCAATACAAAATGTGCATTTGGTCAAATCATATCTATATACAAATGAATTATATAACTTATAATAATAAACTTACTTTATCATGAGTATAAATACACGTAACATTCGCGTACGTTTTCTATCTTACAAATTCATTAACAGTGTAAATGAAGAAAATGCATAGAGCGGCATTTCATATTATACATGTATATACAACAACATATGTTCTGATATTGAGCTGCTGTATTTAATTTATGAATGCAATTACCGCTTTAGTGACATTCTAGCAATAGTTCAATCATGTTTTATAATTGTGATATATGAACAATTGTTAGTTATTTTTGTTCCGAGGTGTAGAATAGAATATTTATTAATGCCAAAGCATTCGTTGCGTGTCCGCTGGTTATACCTGACTGAACAATTTCAAAGGACTATAATTTCAATGTTATATTGATTTTCTTGTGATCATCACATATATACCTTTCTGTAAGTATCTGCAAGAATAGTCAATGTTGAAATCGATGCTGTATAATTTCGATCCATCATAAATTAAGGAGCACAGCATCCATCAAGAATTGTAATGAATAAATAATATCAATCGATCAATACCAATCAACAATCAATACCATGTACATTTATACAAGTACAGGCATTAAAGATACTTTTATCGTGCCGTTTAGTCAAATTTCAGTATATCATAAATAACCTCATAATTCGACAACACATATTTACCAGTTTCGAAAATTTATGAAAGATTAATATTGTCTTTGTATACTTTATACATTGTTAAAAATCATATTTATAATGAGCAAAAATAGGATAGTCTATTTAGATCAACAGAGAAACATTATTTACCAAGGGATGTTTCAAATGTTGATACAATTAAAGAGTATTCCCTTGGATAGGAATTTTGCATTGGACCTAGTTGTTATTAAAACTGTATTATCAGATTTTTTCCAAATCGGATTACTTCTAATGGCCCGTGCAGTCATTCATTTAACATTAGCCAATATATGCAATAGCCACATGCAAGATATGGCTCTTACTTAAATTAGCAAGATTTGAAAAGACATAAGATCTACATAGACATTTCAATGTATTGAAATTAAAATATTAGTTATTATAGTGGCAAAAACCCAAAAAAATATGTGAAATCATTTTCAAAAATTAATGACGAAAAGAGGCACGTGTCACGCCACCTAATGAAACTATGTCTAAATGATTTAATGTGATATAGTGATTGTCGGTATATTATAACCTAATCAGTATATACCAGCTCGGTTAATCAGGTATGTCATACAATGTATACATGTGTCTAAAATGTCTGTGATAGTTTGGCTTCCGCTAAAGAAACAGCTTTGGGTTCTTTACTATTTGATCACATTTGCGTTGGGTTAGTTAATTTGTAAATAACTCTTCAAAAGAAAGACACGTCAGAAATTGATTCATTTTCTGTATTTTTTGTTTAGTCTAAACCAGTGCATAAAAATAGTTTGACAATATGCAGGGCATGTATAGTATGCGGAGTCCAGGTATTTATCAATATGTGCTCACTAACTTGCGAATTATCACAAACCGGAAGTCAACTATGGTAGTTTTCGGATAGTCGGATTTGACTCTTTTTTTTTTCTTACTAAAACTGTAGTAAAAGTATATTTTTTTTTGAAAAAATGTAACCTACAAGTCTGAAAAATGACATGATTAACAATTATGTGAATGTTCCAGACATCATGCTTTAATCATAGATTCAAAGTCTGTAAATCGCGAGCCAAATATCCTCAGTAACAGTGGGATTTTTCAGAGACACTTTCACTTTCACTTTAGTGTTTCCCACCTAACTAGAGGTGTACTGGTAAGAAATCCAGGAAATCCTCGCATGTATCAGTGCTAAACACTTGGCATGTAAAAGAACCAAGGGGTCTATTCAAAAAGAGCTAGGGACTGGTTCCTGGATTCCCTTGTATCTCATAGCTGTCTCTGAAGTGACTTGTCTAGAGTCATGTCTACGTCACCGCAAGTGGTTTGACATTAATGGAAGATAGATAGATAGAAACAGTAACTTCTCTAATGATCTTCCTGAAATCTGTACTAAAAATCAAATATAATCATTCAAAAAATATCTATTAGAATTGATCAGTATTAATGATCGGTCAATGACCATATTATTAGTTTATAACATGCAATATATTGAAATATATATTTGTATTACTGATTCACCAAACTTGATAATCTAATGGAAAAAAATGAGCATGTCTCTTAAAGCTCTAATTAAAAGTTATGTAAAACTGTTATTCATTTTACTAATAATTTTTTTTTTAAAGCTGTTAAAAGGTTGATGAAGGAGGCTCAAGAACTGAGAGAACCAACAGAACAATATGCTTGCCAACCTTTGGAGGTATATTTTTGACGCATTTTTATATGCATGCTAAGAGAAGTATCCACAAACATACAAATAAATTTAAACATTTTCATATTTTGAGAGGAGATAGAGATGGTTTTAAGAGTAATATTTAATCACTATCAATATATATCCTCAAAAAGATGTGGCAATGACTCCTGTAAAAGGCTTTAATAATCATTTTTGATGACAATTTCTCTTAACAATAATTAAATAATTAAATCATTGTTTATCATATCCTACCATTTGAAAATATTAAGTAATTTTAATACAGGTAAATACTTGTAGACTGCTTCAAAATTTTCATAAGGAGAAGTGTATTCCTATATTTGCCTTTAGTTTTACATAGTGAAAAAAATGTTAAGACTGTAACTTGACTGCAAAATTAAATGGATAAACTTTTTAAAAACATCTAATTCTTATCTGCTATAACAAGGTTACTTGAGCCTTATCTCGTCATCTAGATCCAATCCAGTTTAACTAATCTGTCATAATGTTGTATGATTTCAGGATAACTTGTTTGAATGGCATTTCACTATTCGTGGCCCAGCAGATTCAGAATTTGATGGAGGGCTGTATCATGGTAGAATTATTTTGCCGCCAGAGTATCCCATGAAACCACCTAGCATCATTATACTCACAGTAAGTTTAGATGATTTTGCTGTACATTTGGTATCTTTTATAACTTAAAACCCTATTATAATTTTATATATTGTATTATATTTTATATATGTATATATATATCAGAATCTGTTGACAACTTATTTAGATTTAAGCTCAGATTCTTCACAGACGCTTGGGGTGTGGAGCTTAAAACGCCTTTAAAATCCAAATGTGACCAAGTTGTCTTTTCCCTATGGGTTAAATCAAAACAAAACTTGAGGGTTGCTGGTTCTTGTTTAATTTGCAGTAGACACTAATATATACAGTCCATCAGATCAACATTTCATAGCACACATATAGTACTAACATAGCATCACATAGCATCATATATCATCATAATAGCAACGAGCTCTGAAAATATACACATTAAGCATTCCATATATTCATGAAATATATGATACAAACATATACATCTTATCTTTAAATATAATAAATCCATTATATTAACAGATCAGTCCTTATGAATATTCTAAGAATGTACCTTTTCTAAATATGATCATTCATACACAAAATACATAACTGAATATATAAACATCCTATTGAACTTGCATCTAGTGACCAATTAACCAGTTATTTATAAAATTATATGCAATGTATCATTTCCTTAAAACATTAATGTTTTTACAAAATATGTAACCAATTACATATAAACATAATATAACATACCGATTGTGGAATAAAACTCCTTCTATATCACACCTGTCTAACACCTGTCTCACTGTGCTGTTAATTATGTTGTCAACTGTAGTTACAACCATCAGTGCAATACAAATAGAAACAGTGATTTCTAGAAATAGTTGTAAGACAAGAAAGTATGCTGCCATCTTGAATTCTAACACTCAAGAATATTATTTATTTATCCAAATAGCTTTTATCAAACCCACAACTGTATTAATTTAAATAAGTCTTCATTTAGTTGACATAAGAACTTTTAAGAACAAAGATATAAGACATACCAATACCAAATTCCTCAAACCTTAATATTTAAATAATAATTTCTAAGTCAGAAAAACATATATTCATGTCACTATGACTATCAACTTCTGGTTACACAAAGAATGACCTCAGGTGAGGGAAACGTTATGGTCGAGCAAATAGCAAATGTGGTCAAGGGGACATAATCACACAAAGTAAAGATTAAAATCAAACAAGGCCAACAGAGTTACCTTTCTTGAAAAATAGCAAAAACCTTAAAAATAGCACTTGGTTACACAAATAAAATGTATATTTGTCAATCCCAGCACATGTTCTGATCATATATATCAAAAAAACTTAATATAAGCCTTTTTTAAAAAAAATCATATTTCAACTTCTATAATACATGTAATACGCAAGATAAAAATGTTCGCCGGAAAAAAATCCGCACACCTACCCTCAACATCACCATGTTTTTTATTCCATTTCCAATATTTTCACATAATCCTTTGGTCCATGGACACAGAAAATATAATTCTTCACGACGATGGTCAATTTTAAACTTCAACGGTTATATAAACAACGCAACAGCCAAAATAAACATCAAGATTATCGCCGTTTTACTCCATTTACAAAATCTTTCGATAAATTCAAACGTGGCTCCCCAGCTTTGCCGTGTGCAAAATGTGCTGCGCTTTGAAGATGGGAACCAGTCAGCTATGGGGTTAGCCATTTGGTAATATGTTGGTTCCCATACTTCAAAGCGGGGATATTTGTTTGTTTGTGAGTTAGATAAAATTTTATTTCATCAAGTGAGCATTATAAACAGTATTCTCACAAGAGTTGTATACACACAAACAAACAAATTTTCTTTTTATTTTATGCTTAAAAACAAGTTTGAATGAAATTTCTTCAATATTAACTGGAATAATAAAATCTGTTTAACAGATAAATCAGTAACCCACTCAAAACTGAAAAGCATAAAATAAACCTGTATCTTTGTCTTTATATTTTAGATTCAGTTATAATTATTCAGAATTATTTAAGACAGACTGAATGTTTATTACAATTCTACTCATTCTAATATTTTTTATTTTTAATATTTTTTGAAATGAAAATTAATAAGAATTGATGCTGTGTATAAAGTATAAGATAAGTATTTGTAACTGTTCATGTATAACTTATATTGGAAACTCACATACAATAAAAACATGATAAAGATTTAAAGTCTGATTTCAATAATGTATAAGTGCAGAGCAAAGATAGTTAAATGATGAGTACTTTTAACAAGGTTGTACTATTATTTTACTTTCAATGGTTTTCATTTACCAATATTTTACTATTAATTTTTAGCCGAATGGGAGATTTGAGGTGAATAAGAAGATATGTTTAAGTATATCAGGTCATCACCCGGAGTCATGGCAACCATCCTGGTCATGTATGTATGATTGTATAAGTTTTTTCTAATTCCTTACTTTATTTATTATTTCTGTAGAATTTTGATTTCTTTCATTCATGAACATTTAAACTAATGAAATCTCTGTTCAGCTTTCTAATGCATGTGTTGTTTTTTTAATTTGTTTTTCTTTTTTAAACGCCCGTTTGAAAAACAGGACGTATTATGGGAACGCCCCTAGCGGTCGGGCGAGCGGCGTCCAATTTTGTCCGGAGCATATCTCCTACATGTATAGAGGGATTTTAATGAAACTTCATAGAAATGTTCACCACTATTAGGAGCAGTGTCGCGCACATGAACCAGGTCTCTAGGTCAAAGGTCAAGGTCACACTTAGAGCTCATTGAAAAATGCTTGTCCGGAGCAAAACTTCCACATGTATAGAGGGATTTCAATATTACTTGGCACAAACGTTCACCATTGTGAGGCGGAGTGTCGCGCGCAAGATTCAGGTCCTTGCGGCCAAGGTCAAGGTCACACATAGAGGTCAAAGTTCAAATAAAAATATGAAGATGTGTATATGGACCATTTAGTCATCATTTATTGAGGGATTGTAACACAAATGGTCATTATCAAGACTATGGCTGTGATGCATATAATTTAGGTCAATATATGCAAGGTCAAGGTCACTAAAGATGATGAAATATCCAGATTTTGTCTGGAGCATATCTCCTACATGCATGGAGGGATTTTAATGAAATTTCATAGAAATGTTCACCATTATGAGAAGCCATGTCACGCACATGAACTAGGTCTCTAGGTCAAAGGTCAAGGTCACACTTAGATCTCATTGAAAAACGCTTGTCCGGAGCAAAACTTCCACATGCATAGAGGGATTTCAATATAACTTGGCACAAATGTTCACCATTGTGAGGCGGAGTGTCGCCCACAAAATTCAGGTCCCTGCAGCCAAGGTCAAGGTCACACATAGAGGTCAAAGTTTAGATGAAAATATGAAGATGTGTATAGGGACGATTTAATCATCATTTATTGAGGGATTGTAACACAAATGGTCATTATCATGACTACGGCTGTGACACATGTACTTTAGGTCAATATATGCAAGGTCAAGGTCACTAAAGATGGTGACATATCCAGATTTTGTCTGGAGCATATCTCCTACATGTATGGAAGAATTTTTATAATACTTTAATTTATGGAAATGTTCACCACCATGATATGTATTGCTCCATGCATGATCCAGGTCTCCAGGTCAAAGGTCAAGGTCACACTTAGAGCTCATTGAAAAACGCTTGTCCGGAGCAAAACTTCTACATTCATAGGGGGATTTCAATATAACTTGGCACAAATGTTCACCATTGTGAGGCTGAGTGTCACACGCAAAATTCAGATCCCTGCGAATAAAGTCAAGGTTACACATAGAGGTCAAAGTTCAGATAAAAATTTGAAGATGTGTATTATAAGGGACCATTTAGTCATCATTTATTGATGGATTGTAGCACAAATGGTAACTATCATGACTACAGGTGTGACACATTTAATTTAGGTTAATATTTGCAAGGTCAAGGTCACTGGAGATGATTAAATATCCAGATGTTGTCCAGAGCATATTTTCTACATGCATGGAGGAATTTTAATGTTACTTTATAGACTTGTTCACCACCATGAGACGTAGTGCCCTGCACATGAACCAAGTCTCTATGTCAAAGGTGAAGGTCACAGTTAGAGCTCATAGAATAACGCTTGTCTGGAGCAAAACTTCTACATGCATAGAGGGATTTCAATATAATTTGGCACAAATGTTCATCATTGTGAGGCTGAGTGCCGTGCATAAAATTCAGGTCCCTGCGACCAAGGTCAAGGTCACACATCCTGTGCATATCTTTCCTACTGATTTGTTTTAAGGTTCATTTAACAACACAGTGCCAAGAATAAAAACTTGCTTGCTAGATAACACTTATCCATAATGCCCCCATCTCCATCTAAAGCTTTCGTAAACGGGCGTATTTTGTGACTATGGCACCCTTGTTTTTAATAAAAACCATCTTACTTTCTACATGTATCGTATAAACGATACATGTTATGAATGAACAGGCAACAGCCAGGTTGAATGGAAAGATAACTACCAAATGCCACTATAAAAAAGCAGTCTATATCTCAAAATTTAATCTCCATCTTCCATTTAATTCTGAAAATTTTAAGTTCTTTAAGAATAGAAACTTGATTGATAATTTGATACCTTTACCTGAAATTTTCTTAATAATGGATAGTTAGCATAGGAACAGTTAAATTGAATGCTTGTTTTGAAATGATACAATCATAATCTGTAGGTATCATCACATAAAGTCAAAATACTGCTTTGTTTACATTTTGCTACCTTTACAACACATAAGCACATTCATAACATGGTCTTAATCTATTATTTAATCATTAATAAACACATTTTTGAATTTTTGAATAATTACAAAATAAAGATTTCTGAGGCATAAGGTGATTTTAAGTTTTTATTTAATATGTATAATAATTATAATTTCAGTAAGAACTGCATTGTTAGCTATAATAGGGTTTATGCCGACTCATGGTGCTGGAGCTCTCGGCTCTTTAGACTACTCACCAGATGAGAGAAAAATTCTTGCTAAAAGGTGAATATATTCATGTCAATATCTTTGTAATATGAAATTTACAAGTATATGAGTCATGATGTGGTTTGTGCATCAATTTGATAGTTAATGAAAAAGCAAGACAGTTAGACAAACTTTATTTATAGTCAGTTTTGGTTAACAGTGCAAAACATAAGCTTTAAGCTTGTATCTGACAAATAAATAAATCATGCAATTTTACTTGTATGCAAATTTTGATGATTTTCTCAAAAATTATAAGAAAGCCTTATAGCAACAACAAATGTATATATGTGTGCTTCAGAGTTTTGTCCTCTTATAGTATGTACTATGAAATTTAGTATTAAGAGAAAATGATATGCAAAACATTTTATGAAAGACTACATATAATTGTATTTTCTATGTTTATCAGGTCACAAGATTATAATTGTCCATCATGTGGTTGTATAAAGAATGTATTGAAGGAGGTGACGGAGGAATCCAAGAAAACAACTGAGGAAGCTCGGGAACTGGCGGCACAAATCAGTTTTAAGGTCTGTTACTGTACCATTTATATTTTATAAACACTACATACTGAAGATTCAGATTGGCAAAGTTACAATTATTTAGGAAGTGAATGAAATATTCTAACCTGTTGTTTTTAGGTTACTTTCAAAGATTTATCTGATCTGTAAGTAGGATGAAAGGCTGCAGATATATTTCCACTTTAACATTTTACAACTACATGTAATGAAAACATTTTACAGATAATAGAAAGAGCATCGAAACACAAGGTTATCTGATTTGTACAAGGGGGGCGTAACCGAGTGTTTTGATGTTTTTTTCTCTTTTGTATCGTAGGCAAAAATAAAAACACATTCTCTGTTGTCACAATATTAAACCCTAGATAAAAAATAACCAATGTACACGCATCTGAATATGACTTTTCTATCGTTATCTCTTTCCCTGTCGTCATAATAAGTAAACCCCAGAAAAAATGAGGCAATCACTGACCATGCTGTAGGCAGAGAGTGTGGGTAACTAACTCCTGCACTCCAATAAATGCATTGTGCATGTATTGGTATAGGATTTAACATGTTTTCAACAGTAAAGTCTCCAAGCTATGATACAAGATAACAATGTTTTAAACTCATGAATCATGTGAATGTGTAGACGAAACTCTTCAAGTTGTCCCAGTTATTAGACTTTTCATTAGTTAGCATACAGAAAGGATATTAGATTCAGTCATCAGGAATTACTTTACTTTTAAAAATTGCTACATATTTTACAATCATGGCAGATGCAGACTGTTTTGAATTAAAATTTTAATCATGTTATATAAACATGAAAGTAAAATATATTTTCTATTATATTCTGCATATAGGATGAGAAAGAGAAAAATGCAGCATTGAAGTCAACTACTGAAACATCACCAACAGCTGAACAGGAAACACCAGTAGCAGACGACACATCTGGAAATGGAGCATCAGCATCACCGTCTGCTGTACCCCAACCTGGTATGACATCACAACAATTTGGTCAGTTTCCTTTCAGAATGCCATTTTTCCCTCCATTTCCACAGATGAACTCACAGTTTGCAAATACTGGAGTTAATACTGCCACACAAGTTCCAAGATTTCCTCTGCCATTTGTTTCACCATTCTATCCACCAATGATGCAGCCAGGAACATTTCCCATGCCTCCCATGATGCCTGGCATGCATGTGCCTCCATGGCAACAGAATACAAACATAACACAACCACAGAGTCCTGCGTCTGCTGCAGTACCACCAAGGGAGACTACTCCAACAAATATAGGCAGTTCTGCAGGTCAAGTCAATAATTCTGACAATCAAACCTCTAATACTGAAACTCCAAGTCCAGCAAATTCTACAACACAAAATGATGAAAATTCCTCTACAAGCGAAACACCCCTCACAAGTCAGGATGGACTCCGCCACAGAAATGTTGCCTCAGCAAGTCATACATCGACGAGTCATACCCATTCACATCACAGGAGGTTTGAAGCAGCCAGCACTGAGAACAGGGAGGATCAACGGGTTGACAGATTATTACTTCTGTTTGCTGCGTTTGTTGTTATTGTAATAGCATTGTTGTTAATAAGAAGACTTTATATAATGAAACTTATACAGTTTCCTCTATAAGGCTGAATAACTTAGAAAACATACACAATAAGTAAAACATAATATATAATGATGTACATAGTACAGTTGTAAACTGTTCATTACTGGACCAAAACAGATTAAGAGAAAATAGAAAAAGATCTTTACACTTGTAGTAGGACTACTTTTCAAAAGGTTTTATTGCAAAGAATTTATAATGGTACTAGGATTTTTTTCTTATTTTGTCTATTTTTGTGCAATAAGAGTTTTATACTGGATATAGTACTTTCCATTTATAAAGATTAGTTTGAGATAATAGCTTCATATAGGGATAACAATAGGAATATGTGCCTTGGACAGATAAGTCTATAGGTCTGGGACTGATCAGTCTATGACTTTTATGGGTCTTGGACTTTCAAGTATATAGGTCTTGAACTGAGAAGTGTATAAGTATTATGGGCCTTTGACCCATAAGTTAATGAGCTTTGGAGTCTTAAGTCCTGGACAAGGCTTTTTAGCATTTTGAGGATTTTGTTAACACCAGACTTTATCAATAATGTCACGGAACAGCCATCAGCCTGACAACAGATTTATGTGGAGAAAATAGGGTAGGTACTGGTACTGAAATGTAACATGTATTGCTAAAATGTATACAATATATTGGTTTTTGCATTGACTGTAAATATCTCTGTTAATTTACTATCCTTCAATCATATTTAGAATATAAAATATTTATTTTAGTTTGATTGTGTTGGAAGCTATAAGATTATTGAAACACTTGAATCTGTTCCTGGAACCAACCAGTACTAAGCAACCAGTTTATCACATTTTGTGTAATATGAAAGTCTTTTGCCAAAATATTGATGCATTGTAATGTTTTTATGTTATATGCACATGTATGTACTCATTCAGGATATTGAATGAGTGTAGGTTCAATACTAAATATTGTCAAAGTGTTGAATAAAATTATATTGTGATGAGTTCAATAACTTATGTTTTGAGTTTACACATGTTTAGTATATGCTTGCCTTTTTGCTATGTTTGTGTAAAGCAAATGATTTTACGCTACATAGTTATTATACAAAGTGTTATATCTTTTTTATAAAATGACTTAATTATACTCCTGCACCATGATTTATGTGACAAACTGCTTTAATCGTCTTTCTTTTTCTTGTTTTGGGTGTAAGTTTTGGCAGCATCTGTCATTTTCAACAACAAACAAGTTCACATTAATTTTGTTTATGCTAGTAATTAAATGCTTGGTCACATCACTAATGAGCCAAAATGTAAATCATGACTTGAGGTATTTATAAAAGAATTCCAATAGAGAAGTATACTCGTAACTTCTGTATAGCCCTAGGCCTGGATACATGTGCTGCATTTTGAATGTTTTAGAATCCAACATGATTGTATTTTTGAAAAAAATAGATATACACTTTACGAAAATTGTAAGTCCTTCAATTTTCGGCGTAAATCTCTCCTTATATATGTCTATTCAATATTGAAATTTTCTATTAATTTAATCTGTCATTGGTTAGAATGATTTTTAAGCATAGTCAACAATCCAAATGCAAACCAATTTATAAGTTAATACAGTCAAATCTTTGATAAGTTATTATCATTCTGAATTGTGATACATATGAAGTTTAAGTCAAGAGTGAACTTTTACTCACAGTGCTAAAAAGTTCTGGCTAGTTTACATGATAGATTAACATGTATTATATGCTAAGTATTTCTTTAATATATATACATGTAATTATACACTGCCTCTGTGGTCGAGGGATTAGAGTCGATGACTTTTAATCCAGTTTCCTCTCTGGCGTGGGTTTGATCCCCGGGAGATACTTAGGTAGTTTAGCGCGGAGGAAGGTAGTCTAGTACTGGTGTAACTCTCCAGGATTGATGGTTAGGAAACTAACCGCCTATATGACTGAAATACTGTTGGGCAAAGGCGTAAAATGAAACAAACAAACAAAAACAAAATATTAAGAATAACTTCATGTACATGTATATAAGATTAAAATGTAATTTATGTATTATTGACAAATATGTTGTCAGACAAATTTATTTTTTACAGCTATTCATCCATATTTTATATAACAATAGATTCATGAAATCTGTTGCAATATGGAGATTGATTTTAATTGTTCTTATAATTGGGACATCTTATATTTCGTGATAAATAAGCTGGGAATGTGAATAAGTTTATAATATTTACATCGGAGGCCTATTCTCAAAATGTACATACTATCCTTAAAGATTAAAATGTTCAAGTTTGAAGACAATGCTTTCAAAATAACAAAGTTATGGCCACTAATAGCAAAAATCAAGCAAAATTAGGGCATTTGACCTTTAAGGTCAGGTTATTTATTGATGAAGGTCAAGGTTAGTCTGGTCTACTGAAATGTCTTGTCCAAAGGGTTGTTGTGGCAAAGCATTAAGACAATACACCAATAATTTAAAAAATTATGATCAAGGTACAAGTTTGCAGACAGGAATGGCAACACTGACATGACTGTAATAATACCTCTTTTTTTTTCAAAAACAAAGTTGAGCTAATAAAATGATGAAGAGTGAAAGGATAGCTAGGCAAAAATTTTTGATATCTATAATTACACTGTATGTAACACATTTTCATCACTAATTTAAATTTGGAGTAATTGGTCTAGACTATTGGACAAGTTAATGTTGAATGTCACCAGTTAATATTATCTTGATTATAATTATGATTACACCATTCATCATTTCTGTATTTTTGGTTGTTTTTCATTATTACTTTGTTATACATATGCAATATTTGTCATATCAAGTGCTTCAACGGCCTTTGATGAAAATATTCATGATTTGCTGAATTTATCTGTAATTGAATTGGACCTTACTCGCTTACTTTTGTTTGTTTTGTTTACATAAATTATGTCTTACTTTTACGTGTACATATACATTATATTATGTGTTTATTTTGATTGTACATTTGTGTGACAATTATTTTTTTCTTGAAAGTAAACATTAAAGTTTGACAGCTGCATCATCATGTAATGTAAATTACTCAACTGATAATATTTCATACAGTCATATTGTATATAAATAAATCAGAGAAAACAATTGGGATATTTTACAGAGGATCATTGATAAGCCGGAATGATTTTCATGTTAAATACATTTCATTGAATGTTGCCGTCACCAGTTGATGAGACTGTTTATATAATTATTCATTATAACATTTTGTCACATGTTGTGTTGTAAATATTCACACTGGGATATTTAGTGAATAAACTTCAAACTTGGAGATGAAATATAGGTATCAATCTTCTGTTTTAGTAACGCACTATGTTGGTTTTGTCGTGACGCGGCTCAAATATTAACAAGCACTGTTCAGTTTACCCCAGAACATTTATTTCACAATGCTTTAGGTTTTGTACTGTAACATGTAATTGCTATACAATGATTGGTGACAAGTTTAGGGTTTTGTTGCGAAAAATGTTTTGTTTTCTTATATTACTGATTTCTTTATTTTTTATATCTTTAAATTGTGTTATTTTTAAAGGAGTTCGGGATATTTTGTTGGTGACATCATAAATATTTTATTTTAAAAATTTGATGACATCAGAAACAGAATTTTACTTTTTTTCCATAGATAAGAGCAGCGATTGTTATTGTTCTCTGGTCGGCATGTAAATATTTTTGTCAAAAAATTATTCTATCTTGTACAGTGACGCAAAAAAATTGTTTGATAAAATTATTTACATGACGTTTTGTTTAACACTATTTTAGCTGATGTCGAGGTTGTTATATGTTAATGTTATTTTCATACTTGGGGAAATGTTAATTTTGTCTTGTATTGTTATCCATTATTAATGAAATCCAAGTTAAATAAACTTTAAAACATGCTTAAGTTGTGTTTATTTATTTACATTATAAAGACTAATCAATTATTTGTTTGAACAGAGGCTGACCATGTAGTTGAACTAAATCAGGTGATACATTTATGAACCTGAATTGTTATCATTAGCTTAAATTGAAGAACATACATGGGCATCTTTATATTGCACAATAGTCATGCTCATTGGTGTGGTAGACTTTCTTTTTCTTATGTTTTATAGACTGAAATCTTTGTACCACACTGAAACAGTGTTTGAATTTATTTCACCCTTGTGTATTATGCTTTTTACTACTACATATTTGTCATAACTATTTGTCATAACAATTACGTAGTAATATAAGAAAATAAAACTAAACACATGAAACGTTTCACAGTTTAATATGATACCTCACTTTAATGATTTATTAACAGACATCAGTTTTAACTATACACATATAAAACTCTTTTTTATCTTTAAATATAACCACAGAAACTAAATAATTTTAGATATTCAAAATATATCACTTAAATTTTAATCCAAAAGTAGTTTCAAGAAGACCTTACACACTTAGAACCTAAAGAATTTCTGACTTGTATGCTAAATCATCTAAGCTTATATCCTAATAAAAGGCGGGAAAATAATCAAGAAAAGCATATAAAGCATGCGGCGGGAAAAATAGAAAGGAGTTTACAATGAAATAACACATTTTAAGGAGTTTTATTATTACTTTAACAAAATCAGGAGCATACTCAAATAAAAAGTAGTTCAATTTAACTTTGCTATAAAAGATTATGAAATTACAAATTATCAAATGAATCAAAACATGAATAACTTACAAAAAATTCGCAAAGTTTGCGACAATTGGTGGGTTGTAGGCTGTTAATGAAAAGCAACTAGAAATTGTCACAAGTGCAGAATATCACCAGACACGCGCTTGACAGAAAACATGTTTTTTAGTAAATAATCTTTGCACATAGGGAGAATGCAATAGTCTATAGATTTTTTTTCAAATGTTTTTGAATTATTTTTCCTACATCAATAAGATAAAGTAAAGTTTGGATTTGAAGTTTTCATGACTTCTTTTAAGGCCATTACGTTCTTTCTCCCTGAGATTTCTGCACTTCTACTCTAGATCTATCTACCTCGAGTTATGTCCTGGACAAAGTTCAAAATGTAACAATGAACAAAGGGCATAAACTCCAAAATTAGGGTAGGGAGGGTTACGTCTTTTTCGCACCGCGCTTCTTCTCAGTGAGATCTATCTACCTAACAAGTTTCAAGTTGATACCTTTTATAGTTCTCAAGTTTTGTCCAGGACAAAATTCAAAGTGGAAAAATGAACGAAGGGCAATCACTCCAATATTTGGGATGAGAGTGGTCATGGTTCTTATTCACTGCACTTCTACTCAGTGAGATTATATACCTACAAAGTTTTAAGTTGATACCTTTTGTAATTCTCAAATAATGTTCGGGTCAAAGTTCAAAGTGGAAAAATGAACAAAGGGCAATAACATTAGCTTCATTTCTTCCCTAAAGCTGAGAAAATCATCAGCTGTTCTCTGTCATACATCTATGTGTCTTTTGATGCATTGAATTTCACATAGCGTATCACTTTAGGTGTCTTGCGATGTACAAGTCGACTTCCACCTGCTAATTTGATATCAGTGCCTGATGTTACAATGTCAAGATTGTTGTCTGTGTTATCTATTTCAGTTGGAATTTCTTTTGCAGATTTTTTCTTCTTACGTGGGTTTCTTTTCGAAGAATGCAGCAAACTCTGCTATCTGTGATCTATCAGCATACCTGTCAATTAATACAGAACATGTTACATCTGTAGAGCTATCGAGAAGATTTTCTATTTGTGGCAATGGCTTCAGAATTTCTACACGTTTTTCTGGTAGGGAGGTATTTATAAAAGTTACACATCCTGAGCCCTGAGTGAAAGGAAGCTGTAGCAAATAATAAACTGCTTCATGGGCAGAGACTTCACAATGATTTAAGAACTCATTGGTGATGTGTCTGACTTTCTCTCTAAATTTGAATTTCCTTTTTTTCTTCCTCGGATTCTCACTGGAAAAGCATGCTTATTGCTCGCTGTGATTTCTTTGTTACTAGCAATATACACTCAAACTCCCTAAGAATCAAGCCAATACTGAAGGTCTGTGTTTGCCTGCCAGATTTTTAATACATTTAAGTTGTATGCATTTATTCTTACATCTTCAGACGTACATGCTTCTTCTTCAATGATGACATAACAGCACCAAGATACTGGTCGTAGGTAAGGTCAGACCGTCCAATGAATTGATCAAATTCTAATTCTTCATCATTGGGTAGTGCTTGTAACACTTTCAGTACTTTCTTATAGTTCTGTTCGGATGCTTTCAAAACTACCTCTTCTGTGTCAGAAGAAAATGGTTTTATTATCAAGGTTTCCTTCATTCGTGGGAGGGGAAATCCAAATCGACATATCTCTTTCTCTTTCTTCTTACATGACTGGGAGTGGCAGTGCAGTTCTGTAATGGAAGTGTCTAGCAAGTGTAGTTGGAATGTTTTGTATCAGTTAACACTTTTCCATCAAATTCAGGTTGATTGTTTCCTGTTCAGTAAGGGTTTTGCCAAACTTTTTACAGAGAAGTTTTAACAGATCTGGCCACATTGTTTCTGCCGCAGAGAAAGTGGCAAAGAATGTTGGTAAGCCTAGCTGGTTGATCATGGCAAACAAATCTTTTTGTTTTGTTTGATAGTACGGTGGAGAAGATCGAAGTATTTTAAAAAAAATCGAAATCCGTCATCATGATGTATAATGTTTTGAATGATTTCTGGTATTTTGAATAATCCGGCAGTATATGAAACATCTTAGATTTTCTGAAAGCCGTTGTAGTCAAATCTCATATTTGCAATGCCTGTAATTTTTTTAAGCTTGAAAAACATATTTGGGACGGATGTAGAGTATCTTGTATCCGCATTCCTTAACTCTGCTTTACATATTAAACTGTAAGTAACTGGTACAGTCCGTTCAATATTTTCGAATCTTTTTTTTGCCACAAAACAAGATAGGATTTCTCCTCAGCAGAAGTGTCCATTAATAGACTGATTGGATGAGTCTTTTTACCCTGCACTTTCTGCAGTGCATGAAGACCATTATCTGCAAAGTCAACATTTTGCACCAAGGTATCCTTGTTTCCTGCACCTGCCTGTTCTTCTTTCAAGTATCCTCTTCAGTACTCTCCTGCCTTTCTTTGCTAGTGTCTTTTGTTTGTTAATGTTCAATATCTTCCACAGAAGAAAAGGTAATTTCTTTATTGCCCTGTGCTTCTCTATACCATTCATTTTCCAATATTACTCCCTCTTCTTTGTTTAAGAAACTGTTGTCTACAAAGTACTTGGCAAAGTCATATATTACCCACCTTTGGCCTGACTGTTTCATGATACTGCATATTTTAACTGAAGTCTCCTCTCGTACTGAAGGTTTATAGTCTCTGTTTGTTTAAATCTTCTTGGCAGCATAGACATTACACTCGAGGTGTTCATTGGTATATTAACAGTGTTTCAGATGCTAAACTGTTTCCCAATGCCCAGTTCTTTCAGTTGCATGAATGGGATTCTCAATGTTGTACATCGCTCCTCTGTTTCTGTGGACTAAGAGAAAATAGTGAATCTGGAAGGTATGATAGTAAGGATCCATTGGCAACAGCCATTGGAGGCATTCTCTCATCTCAGATGTAATTGTAACAGGTTTTACATATCCATTCTGAATATGAAACACGCTTATAATCTGTTAACACTTTGTCCATATACTTGGGTGATATTCCTTTCCTGTTTAAACTTTTTCTAATGACTGTGTATGGACACTTAACTGGTAAAATGTCAGTTGGCAGCTTGTACACACCAAGTCATCTCCTCTATTTAAAAGATCATTTAATTGCTTTACTTGTATTTTTTAACGACGATTGGCCTGAGCTTTTTCTCTGCTTTTGTTTACGCTTTAAAAGTATTCTTTCTGCATCCGATGTGACGATGAGCTCAATTTTTTTACTGTGTTCATTTTCTATTTGTTTGTACTGACTATTGCTTCGTTTACTTTTTCGGTTTTCATTCCTATCTTATTTTCGGACGGTCTACAGTCACTATTGGTTCTTTTTCAAAGAGCGTGTTTGATTCCTACACTGGTTTTCTGAGAGTCTGTAGTCACTATTGGTTCTTTTCAAAGAGCGTGTTTGATTCCTATGCTTGTTTTGTAATTCTCTGTAGTCACTACTGGTTGTTTTCAAAGTTGATGTTTCATTCCTACGCTTGTTTTCTGAGTGTCTGTACGCACTATCGCTTCTTCTGGATGAGCGTATTTTATTCCTATGCTGGTTTCCCGAGTGTCTTTAGGCACAATCGGTTCTTTTTGAAGAGCGTGTTTCATTCCTACACTGGTTTTCTGAGTGTCTGTAGGCACTATCGGTTCTGTTTTAAAGGTGTTTCATTCCTACGCTGGTTTTCCGAGTATCTGTGCGCACTATTGGTTCTTTTTAGAGCGGGCGTTTCTTTCCTATGCTGGTTTTTTAACTGTCCGTACTTACTATTGGTTCTTTTTGAAGAGCGTCCTTTACTTCTGTTTTCTTTGTTTTCGTTCTCAGCACATTGTCTTTGTGCTGCTTGTAGTGGTTATTGTATATCTGCCGAGTCAGACTTTCTTGCTTCAACAATTCATTCCACAGAAAAGTTTTCTCTCAGCTTGATAATTTGGTATAATGATAAATGGTTATAATGAAGTTTATCAATAACTTGCCCTAAATACCACATATAGATTTCTTATCTTTTTGTACAAATAAGTTTGTATCTTGATCAACAATAAAAATCAACATTGTTATATGTTTTGTATTTTATAAACTATTTCTGTATTCTTAATTCATGACGAAAATCGTATTATCCAGGTAAAATCTTACAAGAAAAAAAATAATTGCAACAGATTGTTTTCAATTTTTGTTCACAATCATAAATGAACATTTATAGTTTCCACTAAAACACTACATACAATCTTTTTGTGCAATGAACAATAAAACTGAAATGCAAAGCGTCCATCATTAAAATATCATTTACAATAAGTGGTTCAATAATAATATAACTATCATGGGGTAATAAATTGTCCTCTTCAAAACCGCATTATTCAGTATGAAAAAGTTCACTGATATATCGTAAACAATGTTAAGTCAATCAGAAGTATTTCATATTTTGACATCATCACTTCGTTTAGTTTCATTTATATTTACAATTATAACCCTGTCAATAAATCCTGATTCTGTATCACAGGCTTGTCTTTAACTTTAACTCTTGTTATCTTGTTGAATTTACCTAATGCCCTACTGAGCTCATCCTTTATTTTGAAATCTAAGTGGCTTCAATATCATAATTAAAAAAATGTTCTAAATGTAATCCATTTCGGTCCCAGCAGATAAATACTTTACTGCAGCTAGATAAAAATGTCATAATAAGCTACCAACAGACTAGAATCTTGACAAAATTGATACAGGCATGTAGTATAGTCACTATATAGTCATTAAGCTTATTAGAGTATTCAATATTGTCTTCATTAATAATTGATAGTCAATATCCATAGCAAGGAATACAACCTAATCATTTGCCATTATTTTATTTGCAACACTAGATTAAGTACATAGTATTGGCAAACTCTTAAAGAAAAAAAAAAATTTATTAAATTCATAGGCAGTTTGTTTTTGCTCACATTAAAAGTATAAGTTTTATAAGGATGTGGCCAAAACAAACTATCATATAAAAAGGTTTGCTATATCATTTAATTGCTAATGATCTTTCATGTAAAAAAATTGTGTAAAAGCAAATTACCACTCCTTAATTGTTACATATATTATAAACAAACTCATATATGTAATGAAAAAGTTAGCACTCAAGTTTAGTGCAATAGACTTTTAACAATTACTCACAGATAGAACAATTACAATTAAATTGTTTTCTTCTTGAAATCAGAAGTTTGTGCATTTTCCATAAACTTGCATTATTATATGAATATAATCATCTCATTATGTATGAAGTGTTTATTAGCGGATTAAATGGCGATTAATTGGGACAATGTACGCATCAAACGTCTGTAGGTGTTTTATTAAATTTGATGTACCAATCAATAAACTAGCATCGGACAATATGTAAGTTTATGCAATTAACAACATCTCTACAAACTGATAGAAGTTCAAAGGAATTTGCAGGTAAGATAAAAATCAACAAACTTTAATTGATTAAAATGAACACAGAACAACCTTTAAATAATGGTCTTTTCAGAAATTTGCATTAGTTTCATAGTCATAAGGAACGGAACACCTTCTAAACGTCGTAGAACTGAGCTGTCCCTTTAGGACTTAAATTAAGATAATTCGTGAGTTTGAAATGGTCCCCAAACCAAAATTGAAGGTTTGTGAAGATTGTTTTTTCTTTTTAAATTAATGATTTGCATGAAATGTTTTATTTTCTGTTGAAATGAAATACCAATGTTTGTATCTGTTTGCAAACAAAAATTGCACTATTTCAATATTTTCTTCTTTTTTCAGGTCCTTTCTGAAAAGTATGGCATAGGAAAGTCGACAGTAGCATACATGTTGAAAAAGAAAGACACCACCTACAAGAAGCATTGTGAGTGTAATGCTTCCCCCAGTTAGATGCGTTTTGATGCAAAGTATGAACGCTTGAATGATCTTGTGTGGCAATGGTTCTGTGTAGTACGTGCTAAAAATATGCTCTCTGGTCCAATTATTAAAGAGAAAGCACTTCAGTTTGCTCAAGAACTTGGAATCACTGAATACAAAGCTTCTAATGGTTGGTTAGATAAGTGGAAAGAGCGTCATTCGCTTTAAGAATTTAAAGTTTCTGGAGAAAGTGCTGGTGTAGATGCTGATGTCGTAAAAAAATTCAAATCGCGAATTCCTGAAATCATTGGTGAGTATTTTTTGGATGACGTATTCAATTGTAATGAGACTGGATTGTACTTTAGAGCTTTGCCAGATGAAACATTATCTGTGAAAGGGACAGCACCAAAGGAACAAAAGTGTCAAAAGAAAGGATTACTGTAATGTTTGCTTGTAGCGCGTCTGGTGAAAAATTGTAACCATTAGTCATTACAAAAGTTGAAAATCCAAGGTGTTTTAAGAATATCAAGAAACAGAACTGGGTATAAAGAATGTGGCTAATAAAAAAAGCATGGATGAAAAATAAAGGTGTTTACTGACTGGCTTGTGGATTTAAATCTGACATGCGCAGACAAGGTCGCAAAATTCCTCATGCTGTTGGACAATGCTTCATCGCATGGAAAACAAGAAGATTATACTTTATCAAACGTAGAAATCAAGATATTGCCAGCCAACATGACATCACAACTACAACCATTGTATCAAGGTATAATCCAAACATTCAAAGCTTACTACAGGAAGTCAATGTTGAGATCACTGTTGAGTAAAATAGATAGTGCTGAGTCAGTGAATGAACTTTGTAAAACCGTGTCTTTTTTTGATGCTATCGGTTGGGTTGTGAAAGCATGGGACAATGTTAAGACTGACACAGTAGTGAAGTGTTTTATGTCAGTGGGATTTATCTCGACACACTTTGTGATGTCTTCTGATAATCTTGTTGGTGATGATGAGTTTGATGATGATGATGATGATGATGATGTACCCCTTAATGTGTTTGTTCAACAGTTCAGATACACTTGTGAGGACTTAGAAAGCATTGATCATGATGTTCGAACGGAGGACAATTCAGACAAATCGGAGTGCAATCTTGTGCAGTCATTTAATGAATCTTCTGAAACTACATGTGAAATCTGTGATACTGAAACAGATGATGAACAGCAACATTTACCTGGGAGTGAACTTTCTCATAATGAAGTGCTTGAAATGTTTAAAAATTTTACAACGGAAAAAGACAGTGATTATCTCAATACTGTGCAGGAACTCCTGATGCTAACTGAATGCAAAATTGTCAAAGCAAAGTGTGTGCAGAAACAACCTACCATTGATTCCTTCTTTAAAAAGTCAGATGCATAAATATGAATGTTGTTGTAAGAGACTTTGAGATGTTAAGAGACTGTACATTATAGTGTAACAGACAGAGACAAGTAATTTGTTTATCGTGAGATATAAAGATTATTATAACAGGCATAGATATGTGACTGAAATGCATATTTTACAAGGAAACATTCATTATATGTGCTACCTATTATTTACAGTAAAACATTGATTATAAATGTGTGTGCTACCTATATAGATTAAGCACATAGAAAAAGATGCAAATATGTAACTAACATACATAAACATTGTTTAATTACAATAAAAAATCGTTGTATATGTATGTTTTTATCATTATTATAAAGTATTAAATAAAGTGTTAAATATTTATGTTTTCTTTTCCTACACATCACTTTGTTTCCAGATTTTTATACTTCACAACAGCAGGTGTCAAGTGCTGTGTGGCAGCTGTAAAAAGTTGCCCCGTACTTCACTTCAGTGTTCTTATATATTTCTGGTCCTTCGGGATCATTGATGCCGGCACTATTAAGTGTTGAGAATAGAGTACCGCTTAAGCCGGTGCTAGGGGGCGTGAGGGATGTTGCACTTATTCATTATCCCTCATGTACAGACTCAATCAAACCGAATTTACATTTCTTATGTAATTTTGTTGTGATCAATGCTTCCGAGGGATCACTTTGTTTCCAGATTTTATCTTGATTACAAGACTATTTTATATGATATTACAGTAATGACCACATTTTCCTTGACATTTAGTAACATTTAGTGGCTTAGTCTTGTCAACATTATTCTAAACCTCTAAATTCCGGAAACTTCTGAAATTCAAACTTTTTGACAAGTCCCATGGGTGTTCAGTTTTAAGAAGTTACACTGTAATGTATCCTACAAAACACACCAATTTAGTATAATCTTCATATTTCCAATACTTGCCATTGAAGCTTCACAGCATCTTTGTAACATACTCACGGCAAGCCAATATTTTTCATCGAAGTTTCACAGCACCTATGTAAACATTTTCATTTCAAGCAAAAACTTACCATCGAAGTTTCCCATTTTTACTATGTAACATACTCATTTTTTAACCTTAAGACTTACATTTCAGGGAATAACTTAACGTTACACCTGAAATGCAACATAAGTGTTTACTAGTGTAACATGGACTTACCATTGTAGTTTCCCTGCATCTATGTGTTCCAGCAAACATGTTTGGATGATCATTTCCTTCCGAGAAAGGACACTGATTGATAACAATTCGTTTATTCTCACCATCTATGCCTACCACAGCTACAAACCTGTAGAATGTCAAAAATATGAAGTTTTCAAATTATATAGTACTACTCGAGTTATTTGAAGAATGATTTGTTAAATTATTGCATGTTAAAGGAACAATGCCATTTCAGTTCTGTTTGAGTCAGACATGAAAGACCTTCCAATACGGGATCCCTTTAATAGACTTGTGGGCCTATTATTATTTTCTTTGAATTCCTAATCAGTTACAAATTATTTATCATTTAATGATTAACCTGTCTTTGCCCTGTCCTTTTTATGTTTGGGGTCCGCCTGGGCTCCTTTCCATTGGTTCTTGTTGCTGGGTCATATGGGGGTTGCGTTCATTGAACGCCGCCTTTCCTTGTTGATCTTGTTTATCATATTTTGGTAAGGAATATATCTATAGGTCCAATTTTCTGTTATTATTGTTCTTGTTCTTTTTGTTGAATAAATCAATAGAGTAACTAGAAATGTTTCCATAGGACACGGGTGCCACCATATTCCACTGTTTTGACAAGCTACTGACTCTAGGTCAAACTTTTTTTGGCTACACGTGACACAAGTTGAAAACTGAAAATCTTTAAATAATCTCAATAAATTAATAACTGTTTCTTCACCCAGGAAGCGTGACTCAATTGTGTTAGTGTAGATGGTGTACCTGCGGCATTATTCAGCGCGGGGACAGCGGTAAACAAACGTACCTGGTTAAGTCCCTTTAGTGTACAGAGGGTCCAGGGGCTTATTTTGAGTATACACCGAGTTCAGGTCTTTGGCCGCAGGGTAGCTATAACCAGGTTTTAAGGGGATATCTATGCGATGAAATGAAATTAAATTGCATTACCTTTTTCTTTATTATAGTTATGAAAAAACATCATGTACATGTATTGAATGTTAGAAGAGTCTAAAGTTTGTACTGTACTGTGTGTACTGTGTAAAGTTCGGTTTTATTTCCTTTTTAACAAGTTTATTTCCGTGCAATGGCATACGTACCGATACTTATATTGTCGATAATGCCATTCGCAAATAGCATGAACAGCGGAGGAGAACTGGGGTCTCCCTACTTCAAGTCCACGTTCGAGTCGAAAAATTCCGAAAATTTGCCATTATATCCAACACACGATGTAACAGTCTTTTACATTGACTTAATAGCCTCAACAAATTTATAACTCACGTTTTCCATTAATAGTTACTTCAATAAAAAAGACCTATCAATTTTGTCAAAGCAGTTTTCATTGTCAATAAATACACTAGTACTTTTAAAACAACTGAATGAAAAATGAACAGACAGTCAAAAACCGACTTCCCTTTTTGGAACCTAAACTAATTTTTTTGATGTCTTTTCGTGTTTTCTGTCCATTTTTTTAATCTGTTGATAACATTTTTGGAATAGATTTTGTCTCATACATTTATAAGCGTAATACTGCGGTTATTCTTTTGGTCGCTTACATCGCCCTTTTTATATATTGGTGTTTTCTGCCTGCAACCCACGGTTCTGGATACTCGCTGTATTTAAACAATCTGTTAAAAAGATTTAACCCATTACATTGTACTGTACTTCATATCTACGTCTTTTTACGCCTTTTCATCCCACTTTGAGGCCTGAAATAGTGAGAACATGCCTTATTTAGACACCAAACGCTTATTTTCGTTTGAGAAATGGTGTTTAAAAAAGTGAACACCTTTTCGCCGCCATCCCCTGTCAAATAAATACATCAATGGGAGTGTCAGAGAGGGATGTACCCCTTCTGATTGGGAGTTTGAAGGGAGTCAGCAGACCCCCTCATCTCCAAGAGAATTTTGGACTTGTGAGACGCTAAAAAATGGCGTAAGGTCGACCTTAAGGTAACGTGTAACCAACTCTGAAAAGCCTGCATTATCTCAATCCATGAAGAAGTTGCAGCACTTTAAAATCAGTTTTGATGGAAAAATCAACGTACAATAGTAATTTTTGACAATTTTGAGATGTCCCTAGGTAACCATGGTAACAGGAAATTTAAGATTAAGTATGCTGTTAAAAAGGCTATGGTCTAGTAAATATTTGTGCCAAGTTTGAACAGCATTGAAGTTTTTTGTATAGTTTCATGGCAATTTGAACTTGTAAAAGGATGCTTTTCAATGAAAACAGCCATTTTTCACAAAATGCTCATGAAGCAATGGATTAAGTAACGCCTGCAAACCAGACAACGAATAAGAGAATCCGCAAATAGCAACATAAAAATTTTCATTTGATCTATTGTAACAGTTTTCTCTATTTAATTATCTATGATAAAAGTAGAGAAGATAATGTTTCACCTTGCTTTACGCCCGTATAACTTTCAAAATTATCTGATATATTACCATTTGATCTTATACAAGTGGTCGATACATAGCTTTCAACATAATTATAAATTTAGATGCGACTGATAATTCAACAACATTTCTATACACGAGGTCAAATGATTTTTTAAATCTACAAATGCACAATTTCTGATTTTCGCGATGTAAGATTCTATATATCAAACTTATATTTGAATCTCCTTTTTAGGTACAGGGAACGAAATGCCTTTGGTCCATGAGTCTGGGTACGCACAATTTCTATACATATAAATTAAACAATTTACATTACAAATGTGCGATACTATGTTTAGAGTCTAAAGATATTTCGGAAATTAACATATCCTCATCAGCACTTTTCTGGCGTTTCAAATTAGATATAGCTTTAATCGCTTTATCATCTGAAAATTCACAATCTAACTGGTTATAACATGTACAAAACTTTCATGATTAATAGTATTTTCAATATTTTGATCGCTAAAAATGTTAGTATCTGAAAAGAGTGACTTAAAATGTTCATAAAGATCATTAGCTGACAAATCAGTATTAGAATTACAATTTTTCTTCTTATATTTACGTAGAAGATCCAAAAATGTCTTTGGGCTACTTCTTTGAAGCATTATGCAATTCATCTTTTTGCTTGCTCTCCTACAAAAATTTTGCTTTGCATTTTACCTTTCTATAATACCTCCGTTTAACAATAACCAAGATATTTTTATGTGTCCTTAAACGACGATACACTTTATTTGCTCTATTTGACTCATGTCGGGCAGTTTTGCAACAGATTATCATGTTTTTTTGTATTACAGTACACAGGTTTGTTTACACCACAGGAAATTGACATTCTTTAAGCAAATGATTAAAAAATAACGGGAAATATACCCATCTATACTATAGTATATAGGGGTATATTTGCCGTTATTTAATTAATTATTTGCTTAAAGAATGTCAATTTCCTGTGTTTACACCAAATACATGATATGCAGCATTATACAGTACATTACCAACACCCTCACAAATTGTGATATTTGAGGAAATTATTTGGTTAACAATGTCAGTTAGTTTACTAAAATCATCTAATAGAACATAATTTTAGTCATTTTTACAACTTTTTCCTTTATCCCGAATAGGTTTGTGTACATTAATTTATTTAACATGATATCTTTTTTTATACAATTAACTTTAAAAATCATATGTAGAGGAACATGTTGTGAAAAATTTTAATAATTATATACAATAAAGTCAGATATGATATGAAATAAATACATGTGTAAAATGATGCAATAGTGTAATCAATGACACTATTACCGTTACTGGACAAGTAACCTCATCATCACCAATTCATCCATTTACAATTTTTAAATCAGAACTACAATATTCATCATTTATGCCACGCTTCACTAAAACATCAAGTCAAAATTTGTGACAAAGTTTAA